CGTCTAGGACTAATAACATTTAAAATTCTTTGATCACTGAACTCTTTAAAAAGAATTTTATCATTATATTGTCGGCTATACATTGTCATTTTATCTATGAACATTTTAATGCCGATGTATACGATATTTCCTTAGAATGAAATCCGATCTCTTAATTAGTTTTATGTTTTCCATTTTACGCATCCGGCAAATATTTCGAAAATAGTTCGTAAAACTGCATTCCAAAAARAGACAAAGATAGYCACCGCTGAAACACAAAATTAGAAAAATAAATATCAGAGTARAAAAATTRAAGAAGTCTACTAAGTCAGTGGTTCCTTCAAGACCCTTCATTTCCACTTCCTCGCTACAGACTCCTCTTCCTCTTACATCTCCTCCAAATCCTACTCCTCTCACACCGAATCATCTTCCACTCTCTCCTCCTATTCCAGATTTGTACTTCTCTTCCAACTCTTGCTTCACTCCGACTCCTCTTCTACTTCCTCTTCGTGCTCTTCCTAATCATCTTTCACTTCCAACTCCTCTTCTGGCGACTTACATCTCTAGTTTTCCCTTCCACGTTCTCCTCCTTTTTCACCTCTTACCTTCATGAAATCGGCTCTACGGATAGATCAGCTTCATTGTTCTCGTTGCTTTGCCCAACTTCATTCTTATTTTTCTGCTTTCCAAAGAGGAAGTTTACGATGAAATCAAATACTTCGAAAACGGTCAAAATACTGCATCCCAAGAACAGGCCAAGATAGCCACCAACGTCCGCTGAAAAATTATATAATAGTAGGAACAATGAGCAGGAACGAGTTGAGATGACGGTAATTTCCGACTTTACTAAGTCGCTTCTCTCACTCCTAATAAACATTTGAATTCTCTTCCAGCTTTGCGTCAATTCTCTTCCACTTGTAACCATTTCGTCTAAGGTCTTCTCCCCTTTCACCTCATAAGTACGTTTCTTGATGAAACACAACCACTTCTACTCCACATTTTCCACCCCTTTCACCCCGTGAACATGTTATCTACCATTTTCATCTCTCTGCGAAAACATCACCAAATTCAACTTACATCCAAAGTCATTGATGTCATATGCTTCTCTTTCAGTTGACTTGTGTGTATASAGATCATCATATTGTAGTACCAAAAGTGCCAGATTATCCCTACAAAAGAATTTGAAATTACACCTTTCCATTTAGACAACCTATATGAGCTGTATGACATCATAACACAGGGCAAGAGTTTTTGAAGGCAATAAAACGCTGGCCCTTCTTCTCTCACATTTTTGCCTTTTGTTTTCTTCTTTTATTTTGTGCAAGCCTAAATTGTATTACTTCCTTCGAGAGTTGAAAGCCCACCCGTAAAATGTAYATGTATCTTATGAGTATGTAGATTCCTCTCAGCCGTTTACGCTGTCGTCACAATAATCGATTAGTGAGACTACATTGTAAACGTGTGCGAGGAGTCTAATTAATAAGTATTAATAAGAATTATCTAAACTTGGTCTTGGCTAAGATCAACATTTTTGTAAATTAAAATTGGAATTAGAATTCAGAAAACCTGTATGAATTATAAAGTCTTTGAACATGGGACAAGTTTTTTTTTTGCACAAGTTTTTTTTTTGCAAGGAAATGAGTGTGTAAAACGTAGGGAAATCCAATATAAGTATAATATTACCCAAAATAAGCCTTGTCTGATTTCATAGCTTTAACGTTATTTTTGTAAAATTCCTTCCAAAAAGAATCGGAAATTAACGACACGGCGTTGATTTGAGCGATTTTGTACGCGATATGAGTACAATTTTTTGGGCAGACACATTCCTTTGGATTACCACTCAAAAATGAAGTATCTGTAAAGAGAAACAGAAATTAAAGTCTGATCAGGAAATTCATACTTGCAGTAATACGGAACTGCAATACTTTATATTTTAAAAAAGTGAAATAACAAAATCCACTTACCAGATTTAATGAGAAATTYGAACAAAAYATTCGRTACRTRACCGGAATCCCCCACTTCACTGGCATTCAAAAATAATCCGCAAGAGATCATTTCATTTGGGGTGCAATATTTYGTGCCATTGAACTCTGAAAAWAGATCRAAAGCTCGAATGATTGTATTTCYAAGAAACGGTAGWACACGTTATCCTGTATACTATTTCATAATGTTTCATCATCACTTGAGAAGGTTATCAATCTAAAGCAGCTGTATGTGTACTGTAAATTATACATTTACAATCAAAATGTTATTTTACAAACTTTGTAAATTGGTTTTACAAGATATTTTCAACGTTTTACAMGATATTTATAGGATGTACATAATATTTACAACTTTGTAAAAGAACATTTTGACTTTAAATTAAATTTAAGGCATATTTACAATAGGTTTACATATTATTTACAAACTCCGTAAAGTCTACCTGGTAGTACTAGCTGTAAAGTATTCAAGTCTACCTGGTAGTTCAGACATTCCCAGCAGTATGCAACCACACTTTTGAATTGCTTTACGTGTACTGCATTCCATAAGACACCTGCTTTGCGTGTAAACCTTGGAAGTCTTAAGATCTTTTCCACCACATGCTGACTTGTAAGGAGCCCTAAGACTGATGTACTAAAATAAAAAATAGAGTTTTTCGAGTGTTTCATGCAACACGAGAAGATAAAATTCGTATGCGAAGMTTATGCGATACGAATTTTATCTTCTCGTGTTGCATCCTGCCCTTCTGTTTATGATATAATTATATTTGAAAGTAAATTATGTCGTAAAAAAACATTTTTTACTTTCAATATATAGAAAAACTGCTGTAATTAGTGAAAATATCAACTTTTTGAACGAGATAAATATAGGTATTTCACAGATAATCTATTTTGGACATAAAAAAATGGCAAAAGGAAGCATTCTTGAAAGAATTCTCGAAATGTAAGTGTTTTTTTCAGAGACATTGTTGTATTTATAGATGCGCACATGTGGCAGTCACCGCAATATTATATATAAAAGTTGTTACCCGTTGTAAACACGAAGCAAGTGTCTGGAAGGAACGATGAAATATACATACATAATACAGAAGGAAGTATTTAATATTTAGAGTTGGCATCATGATACCCATTGTATTGATTCATTCTTACTTCTGTGTTTTGGATTTTTATTGCTGTCATGTGACCTGGCATAATGTCGATCCCATCAGCCTCTATCATAGGCTCCTCGTCTTGACCGTGGATTGCCATTCTTATTCCGGGGTTTAAGTAGCTCATAATGCCATAGTAGTCGAATTTGTCGATATCGATCACCATATGAAGTCCGTGGCTTCGTCTGATAGACGTTGAGTAGAGAAGCGGATGCCCGTCTTTTCCTGAGTTGAATGTGTGACAAAGGCCATACTAAAATAAAGACATCACGTGATATATTTGACTTCTTTTACAGCTGTTTGCAATAATTCTGACCCCCTCTGCCATATTTCATATATATCAAACTGAGCTTTAATATTATGGGATATCATCACTGATATATTTTTTGAGTTGTCCAGAATGAGTACTTTCTAAAAAAAATATCAGCATTGGTATCCCATAATTTCTAAGGCTATTTTGATATATATGAATATTAGTGTAGGGGGGGTCAGAATTATTGCAAACAGCTGTATATCCCATTAAATTCTAATATATTATTATCTCCCCCCATGTATGGAATCCGGAATTTTGGATCTGGAATCTTAGACCACTTCATTGTATAACTTCCTCAGACACATCTCCTCAAAAAGCTTTTATCATTATGAATTTGGCTTGTTTTTCCGAATGGTATTTCCAAAAAATTAGATGAGATTTTTATGACAAGTTTGTTTCACAAAGAATCACTAAAACTTCAAAACAATTGGATATAATCGGTCTGATTCGAGCCTGATGAGTTCTTTGATTTCAGAAGTTTGCCGTCAAACAATCTTTTATAGCCAAAATGAAAATGATCATATTATTTCAGAGATCCAACTGGGGGACAAGTAAGAATGGACCACCAGCTGGACGCTATAAAAAATATCTCCCTAATTAAACTCTGTCTAGCCTTCCATAGAAAGTCGAATAGTGTGATGTGGTCTCTATAGCATCTCTCTTGATTCTTGACATTATTTATCAGGCTTGCAACAGTTTATTGCGGTAAATACACAGCATGATCGCTTGATTTGATCGAAGATCAAGCAAAGGCAAGGAACGCTTGTAGTCATTAACCGACTTAACGCACATCCAAAACCATCTGGCTCAAATTGTCTTTTTGAAAATTCCACCGTTTATTAAACGTTAAAATATATCATTAGTCAGTTTCGATCCAGCTAGCTTTTTAAAGTTTTAAAATGCTTAATCAAAGTCGTTGTAGGAGTTCTTTTAAACAAGAAATTTCATTACGCTAGACTTGAAAAAGCCCCAATACCTGGGCATTGTTAATAAGGCTAAAAACAAATTAAGATTTTTTCATCATAGCCAACATCTGCTCCTTAAGATAATTAGTTATCGGACGTTCTAGCACTTACTTTCAAGTATTAATTCACTAGCTACACCCTTAGCTCATGAATAGCATAACAATGAGTTTCAAATCATTTCATTCGAAAATATGTCTCTAAATTTAAAAAATAGCTTGCTCTTTTGAAAGAAAGTAATGCTCTGAAAAAAAAGAAGAAAACCTGCCTGCCCATGCAATTCCAAGCACAGTTTTTTGGAGCGCTTTAAAATGAATATGATATGTATTATGTTTAGGGTGGGAATGTAGTAGAAATATCTACATGTAATACATTGATGACAATACTTACAATTTGCGAAAAACGTGTGGTAAAGTTGAGGTGGCTGCAAAGGTTCCCATCCCAAGCGCAACGTCTTATCATATCATCCGCTTTGTGGCCAAACCGTAGGACGGCTTTCTTAATATCAAAAGAGCTGTCCAAAGTCTTGWTTGGAATTGAGAGCATTTTACTTAAAGGGTTCAGTTGGTCCAAATAAGCCTTTGCATCGGCGCCATAGCTCTTTTCGATTTTGCTTCCTCGCATCATGTTGGCATTGCATATGGTAACAGCCGGGAACTTTAACCCATTCTCTTCGACAGAAAKCATCTCTTTAGTAATAACATGCTCCTTTGCTTGTAGCTTGTTATAACTTTCTACTAGTTGTTTTGTCAGGAAACCCAAACCTGTCAGAATCAAGAGCAACCAGAAAACTCGACGAATTATCCCTCTGTCAGCTCCAAGGACAAAATGAGCTCCATGAAAAGTAGTGTTTCCAGAAAATTCTTCAATGTGCTGTCTAAGATTTCGTCTTCTTGTCATTTTTTAAGGTACGCAGTATTCATAGACAAGAGCCTTTGAAACCATAACAATAYACTGCCGGGCGCTAMCACCGTATGYGAGTATTACAATMGCATTWTATACAGCTATTTAAAAAAACGTTGAATACTGAATACTCCAAGACCGAAATGCCGTGGGTCGCTCTATTACCTTTAAAAGGCGTTTTAAATAAAATCTGAAACCTGTTGTAATTTCTGAAAAAAGACAAAAAAATGTAACTTAAAAATGATTTAGTGTTTCGTAGTGTAGTTAGCTCTAGTGTACGTTTTGTATAGTAATTTATGTGGATACTAGAGTTAGTAATTTATGTGGATACTAGAGTTGTAAGTGTGAATTTGAAAAATTAAAAAAAAGGCGTTTTCCTGGTTGCAGAATAACTGTACCAGCTCCATATAGTCAAAAACTTCAATGGAAAGTTTATAATTGTCATTTTGTAACACAGCTTCGTGGAATTTAATAGCAACAATGCATTTCGGTCTCGGAATGCACCATGCATTATCTCAGTGTTCATTTCTCAACGTTTCCTGAAAAACATGTACGTAATAAGATTATGCAATAGGATTACGTAACAAGATTGCGTAACAAGATTTTAATATCTCAATTCACAAAGCAATCTGTCTAAGTCA